CCAGCTGTCTTTCATGCCGAAGGCGGGACTAGAACTCCCAGTCTCCTGGTGATTGGCCCAAAGTCACCCAGCTGTCTTTCATGCCGAAGGCGGGACTAGAACTCACTACCTCCTGGTGATTTGCCCAAAGTTATTCAGCTGGCTTTCATGCCTAAGATAGGTCCGCTTTCTAGCCTGGAACCTTCCCTACTAGACCAAACTGCCAATTTCACCCCAAATATTTTTTGCCAATTTTAGCCCAAAATTTACTTTTCTATTTTTACCAATATTTCAACGTTTTACCTCTTCAGAATGTGCTTTTCTCTCTCTCTCATTCTCTCTCTCTCTCCTTACCTGTGTCCCGTACGAGCCGTAATTTTTGGGCTCCGCATTGTTGTGTTTCTTGGGCACCTCCAAGGCAGGAACTGTGGGCACAGAAGGGATGGTGGGAGCCGAGGGCGGGGGCTGGTATGGCGGGGGAAGCTACCCCAAGACAAGGGGTGGGAAAAAAAAAAAGAGAGAGAAATCTCAAATTTCTGCAGAAGGCGACTCATTTAACAAGTTCCCAGCTGTAGTCGTAAGTTATAAATCAGGTGGAATTCCAAATCCCTAGTGCTTCCTCTTAAAAAGCATGAAATAACAAGTTTGTAGCTCCTGTAGCTGTGTAATCTTTCCCGACAGGCGGTCGAATCTGTATTATACCCATTTTACAGGTGGGGAACACTGAGGCCAAGAACACCAATTAGAGCCCCCTGGTGGGATTTGGAGCAGTACTGAAATTCTAACCAGGGCCTTGCAGCTCACTCCGATTGACAAATCAGATTAGATTACAGATAATCAGAGTTGGAAGGGACCTTGTAGGTCATCTAGTCCAACCCCCCCCCACACCTACACCATGCCTGACAAACGGCAGTCCAATCTCCTCTTGAAAGCCTCAAATGCCTTGCATGAAGAAATGAACAAAAGCCATCTTTAGTGGCGGGGAAATACAGCTGCTCCTAGAAAGAAAAGCCAGCTCATGTTTCTAGACCTCATGAAGGCAGATTCTGAAAGCCCGGAGAGGGAGCCGCTGCAAGGATATCCCCATTGAAAGCAAAGCCAGAAGGCCCATAAAATGCAAACACAGCATTTTATACCCCCCACCCCACCCAATTCCCCCAAAGATCGAGCAATCGACTCACCCCCGAATTATCAAAAGGATTATATACATCCAGGGTAGCATAATCAGTATTCGGCCGGTGTTGAATTATGCCTGGATCCTTAAAGGAAGAAAAAAAAAAGAGAGAGTGAGTTGATTAAATAAAAAAAGAAAATTTATTTATATTTGTACCACTCCTTCCTAGAAACTAACCCAAGTTTTGGGTTTGGAAATCTGAAGGATATTAACTAGGTTTCTAACAGCTGCAAAGGAAAACAAGAAATGGCTTCTTCACATATTGTAATTTTTTCTTCCTCTTTTCCTTGATGTGTTTCGTTCCCTGTTTCTTTTTTCTCTCTCTCTCTTCTTTCCTCTTCTTTCTTTTTATTATCCTTGTTTTTCTTTTCCTTGGAAAATATTTTCGTCAACAAAAAGTACACACACACAAAATATACGTGTGTGTATAAATATATAAATACACAGACAATTCTTGACTTATTCGTTTAGCAACCGTTCGAAGTTAAAACAGCACTGAAAAAAGGGAGGGACTTAAGGACCGATTTTCACACTTACGACCGTTGCAGAATCCTCATGGCTGTGTGATCAAAATTCAGATGCTTGGCAACTGACTTGTATTTATGACGGGGTCATATGATCCTGTTTGGTGATCTTAACAAGCAAAGTTAGGAAGCCAGATTCACTTAACAACCTGGTGACTAATTCAGCAACCGCTGTGATTCACTTAACCAGTCTGGCACAAAAAAAGGTCATAAAATGAGGGGGGGAAAATTCACTTAATAACTATCTCACTTAGCAACAGACATTCTGGGATCAATTGTGGTTGTAATTCGAGGTCTGTCTCTATCACTGGATTTTGTGAGCTGCAACTCCCGTCCTAAGAGGCAAATATGTTAGCAAGGCTCACTTGCTAACAAGATGGATGAAATACTCCTTTGAAATAGGTGCAATTAGGATTTCTACAACTCAGCAGTTCTCTGTTTTACTGAAACCTGGCTTAATGCAGAAATTCATGATGACAACAGCATATACATCCCAGGATTTCTGATATTTAGATCAGATAGAATATCCCATATTAAAGGCCTCTTTGATCAAATCTGCTAATCGGGAAGAAAGATCTAAGCAGATTCCTCCCGATTTAGGGCCACAGGGCTCTCTCCCAAACAATTCTTCAGGAACGTTCCTCGTGAAATTGCAATTTTATTTGCATCTTTAACCCACCACGTCTTTCTTCTCCAGCTGGTGATTTCAGGTGGGCTCTAAGTTGCAGTTAAAGATAGCCTGCTCCTGAAACTGAAGGCTCCATCCAGGCCATGCCCAGCTCATAGACTCTTTCGGAGAAAACTTTTTTCAAAGTTTTTTTTTTAAAAAAACAAGTTAAAATCTTTTATTTACTTTTCACCAATTGCATGCCACGCAAGAGGGGGGGGGGGGAACCCACAATAGACTTTATTAGCAAACAAGGTCAGCCACGTTATTCATTGCCTATTTATTGTGAAATAGGTTGGGGAAATATTATTTCGACACCCTCTTTTCTCCCTTCCCCCATCCCAAAAAAGTGGTTTGCCCCAAATCTCTGCTGGCTTTAAATAAGGAAGTAGTAAGCATGTTCTGTGACTTTTTTTTTCTTCCAGAAACCAGAGTATTCCAAAGGAGGCCAAAATAAAGCCAAGATAGATGCAAAAAAGCAACATTATTTGAAGCGTCTCTTCCCCCCCCCCCCCCAAATGTGGTTTCTCCTCCCTCCCACACTTTTAAAAATAAATTTGTTATTATCCAAAAAGGGACCAAAGTCCTGAATGGCTTTGGCCAAATAAGAGTGTTGTTGTGCAGTTAAAGGGGTGATTGTGTGATAAATATAAACGCTCTTTTATCTCGTCAGCAAAAGACAAAATTTTGCTAATTCTCTCCCCCCCCCCACTTCGTAATGAATAGAACCGATAAACAGCCAATTGCCAGGCTGGTTATTCCAACACTAATTCAGCTGAAACGCAGCAAAGCAGAAATAAAGAGTTCGATTCCCGATAAAGGGTAATATTTTGAGCAGATTGGCTCATTGTCCTTAAAGATGGTTTTTGTGGGTTGGGCTCCATGGTGGCTTACTTGCCAAACTATGATGAAGCTCAAGAATGGTGGGAAGGAAGGAAGGAAGGAAGGAAGGAAGGAAGGAAGGAAGGAAGGA